TCTTCATAAGGTCGTTATTATGGGCCTCCTTCCATGAGTATCAATGCTGGAAAGTTATAAATATATTTTTTTTAACAATGTCTGTGTGATTTATTCTTAAAAAAATACATATTTTATGTCTCAAATAAAAATAAAATCCATCGACTTTTATGTTAGTCAGATTATTTCAGTTGTTGTGTTTTGTCTTAAAATGAGCACTATCTGCTAAAGCAACGTCTTAAAAAGAGGACAATCTGCTGAACAAGCATGTCAATATAAAAACTGGTGAAATCCCAGTTTTACAGATGTGATGATAATCATAGGGTTTTTACACACAGTAAGATTCTTTATTTAGAGGTGTACGATATAGCATGTGACACATAGGTTACAAGTGTATTCTATTTATAATAATAATCAGAAACTCATATACTTAGGTGATAGGTTCAGTACAAGTCAGATGCAGGAATAACTTTGTTCCTGAAAAATGCACAACTTATTCTGAATGTGATAGGTGTACATTAATATAACACTAGACCTGTCATCAGGAAAATAGAAAAGCGGGAATCCTTAAAGAACATGGAAAATGGCAAAAAAAGGCGCTTGGTCTAATGACACCTAGTAGAAAGTCTTGTTTTGTAAGTAATTTCAGTTCGGAGAATTATATCTTAAAATCACAACTCGTGGAACTATATAATCGTCATTGTTACCACAAGAGCAATCAATTCACCTAAGCATACTGGTAGAAGAAATAACAGTCTTTAAACATTTTGCTTTGTCATTGTTATTTTCCTATGGTCTTCGTAACACTGTTCGGCCTCCGTGGTCGAGGGGTTATAGAGTCGATGACCTATAATCCAGTTACCTCTCTGGCATGGGCTCGATCCCCGGGAAATGCTTTGGTAGTTTAGCACGGAGGAAGGTAGTCTAAGTACTGGTGTAACTATGTAACTATAACCAGGAACTATGGTTAGGAAACTACCCGCCTATATGACTGAAATACTGTTGGGGAAAAGGCATAAAATGAAACAAACAAACAAACAGGTTATATATGAAACCCTTGTTAATATTTTATATCTATGTTCTCGTTAAACTATCAATAAATTTTTATGGTCGAAGTCATGTTCTGAAATGCTGAGCTTAACGTGAATGTTAAGGTTAAAGCTGTTTTACATATTGGCTTGTTTACGTCTTTTTCTTTACATACCTACCCGTTTAGTTCAATAAAACTTGGTCTAGATGTTTAACATTATTGATCTTACGTCTTTATGATATTTTCCTACTTGTTTGAACTCTGTGAAGAATTTAAACCAGTTTTCTGATATAATATACCTACAAAACATTTGTTTGACTTTTTAAGCTTTGTATAATTTTCTGGATTGAATCTAAATTTTATATCCTGTACGTTATTTAACCCTTAACCTGCTGAATGGGTCAAATGGATTTTCCCAGTTCTAATTTGGAACAGTCCATTCAAAATTAAAAGGTTTTGAAAATATCAAAATACAAAAGTTTAGTAATAAACATAGGTTTTATGCATAATTTTATCCTGCTAAAGCTAATTTTTTGTCCATTATAAATTTTAGGGATATTGATAAATAATGAAGTTTTGATACCAACTGTATAGAACCTTGATATGCAGGTTGACCTGGCTCTATCTTAATAGGAATGATACTTCATTTGACTAGCCTTATTGATTTCCCTTTATTAACTTACATCTATATTAATTTTCTTCTTTAAATTGGGATAGAGTTCATTTCAGAAATTTAGGAGTGTTGTACCTAACTCAGGAGAAAAGCTTGCTCTTGTGTTCTTTAAAAAAAAACCCAAATGGGAATAAGTACATGTCGTAAGTCTTTTTATTTCCTGTTTGTGATCTCAGCTTTATCCTTCATGTTTCTTAGATCTTGGCTTCTCTATTATGTTATTGATCTTGTATTGGCTATTTTAGTGTCACACGCAGCTGATGTTTCAGAATGATCTATATATACTTGGATCTGAATAGATTCCTGTGGAAAGATAATTACCTCTTTCATTATTTGAGAAACGTATGGTGGGTGCAGTGGGCTGTATATATTAAATGAACCAGTGCTGCACATAATAAATGAACCAGTGTTGTCCATGTTAAATGAACCAGTGTTGCACATGTTAAATGAACCAGTGTTGCACATAATAAATGAACCAGTGTTGCACATGTTAAATGAACCAATGTTGCACATGTTAAATGAACCAGAACTGTATATATTAAATGAACCAGTGTTGCACATTATAAAATGAACCAGTGTTGCACATGTTAAATGAACCAGAACTGTATATATTAAATGAACCAATGTTGCACATTATAAAATGAACCAGTGTTGCACATGTTAAATGAACCAGAACTGTATATATTAAATGAACCAGTGTTGCACATAATAAAATGAACCAATGTTGCACATGTTAAATGAACCAGAACTGTATATATTAAATGAACCAATGTTGCACATAATAAAATGAACCAGTGTTGCACATGTTAAATGAACCAGAACTGTATATATAAAATGAACCAGTGTTGCACATAATAAAATGAACCAGTGTTGCACATGTTAAATAAACCAGAACTGTTTAATTAAATGAACCAGTGTTGCACATTATAAAATGAACCAGTGTTGCACATGTAAAATTAACCAGAACTGTATATATTAAATGAACCAATGTTGCACAAAATAAAATGAACCAATGTTGCACATGTTAAATAAACCAGAACTGTATATATTAAATGCACCAGTGTTGCACATTATAAAATGAACTAGTGTTGCACATGTTAAATGAACCAGAACTGTATATATTAAATGAACCAGTGTTGCACATAATAAAATGAACCAATGTTGCACAATAATCATGTTAAATGAACCAGAACTGTATATATAAAATGAACCAGTGCTGTACATAATAAATGAACCAGTGTTGCGCATGTTAAATAAACCAATGCTGTACATATTAAATGAACCAGTGTTGCACATAATAAATGTACCAGTGTTGATTGTGTTAAATGAACCAGAGCTGTATATATAAAATGAACCAGTGTTGCACATAATAAAATGAACCAGTGTTGCGCATGTTAAATAAACCAATGATGTACATGTTAAATGAACCAGTGTTGCACATAATAAATGAACCAGTGTTGATTGTGTTAAATGAACCAGAGCTGTATATATAAAATGAACCAGTGTTGCACATGTTCAATGAACCAGAGCTATATATATTATAAATGAACCAATGTTGCCCATGTTTAATTAACATGTTAATGCACATTAATGTACTTATTAATTGAACCAGTGCTGTACATATTAAATGAATCAGTTTTACACATTTTAAATAAACCAGGGTTGCACATGTTTAATGAACCAGTGCCATACATAATAAAGAAACCAGTGTTGCACATGTTACATGGCCTTGTGTGGCATATGTTATATGAAGGAGTGTCACAACTGTTCCAATTAGAGAACTTAATTGAGCAAAGTATAAAAGTAGGCCATACAGAGGATTACCTTATTGATTACTAATTGCCAGTCTGAAGTATTATTTGTATTGATGGTACTACATTAAATAAAAAAAAGAAAAGAATATTTGATTCCCCTCAACATTGCTGTAGGTACACATCAGTTACTTTGAATTTTATTAATTTTCAAGAAGGGCCGTTTCAGATATTTGTGACTGGGGTTTCGAACACTTGGAACATGTTGATGAGTCCATCTTTTGATATTTGAGCTGTGTCACGACAAAACCAACATAGTGCGTTTGTGACCAGCATGGATCCAGACCAGCCTGTGCATCCGTGCAGTCTGATCAGGATCCATGCTGTTCGCTATCAGTTTCTCTACTTGTAATAGGGTAAGTAAGCGAACAGAATGGATCTTGATCAGACTGCGCGGATGCGCAGGCTGGTCTGGATCCATGCTGGTCGCAAACCTATTATGTTGGTTTTGTCATGACGCGGCTCATTTTGTTTTTTGCCGAGTCATTTCCAGCTGAGGATTGTAGAGAATTGACCGGAAGCTTCAGTAATAGAAGTGTAGAATGTTTTCATATGTGATTATTAAACTTGTAACAATTTTTTTACCTTGTGAACAACTTATATATGTTAACCTTTAACAGGAGGAAGTGATTTATTTCCTTTTTACAATTACTTGAGTTACAATGCTATTTTAAGGAAACAAAATGAAAACTATTGAAATTATGCTGTACATTCTACATAATATAGTTTTCATTTTGTTTATAATTTGACAATTATTACTGATGGTAAGAAGTAGTGGTAAATGTATTGATTTATGAAGCCATTACACTATTTTTATTGATAATTCGATAATGGCTCAAAAGTTGGTTGTTGATGGCTCGAAAGTTGGTGGTTGATGGCTCGAAAGTTGGTGGTTGATGGCTCGATAGTTGGTGGTTGATGGCTCAAAAGTTGGTTGTTGATGGCTCGAAAGTTGGTGGTTGATGGCTCGAAAGTTGGTGGTTGATGGCTCAAAAGTTGGTGCTTGGTGGCTAGAAAGTGGTTGTTGATGGCTCGAAAGTTGGTGGTTGATGGCTCGAAAGTTGGTGGTTGATGGCTAGAAAGTTGGTGGTTGATGGCTCAAAAGTTGGTGGTTGATGGCTCAAAAAGTTGGTGGTTGATGGCTCAAAAGTTGGTGGTTGATGGCTCAAAAGTTGGTGGTTGATGGCTCAAAAGTTGGTGGTTGATGGCTCGAAAGTTAGTGGTTGATGGGTAGAAAGTTGGTGGTTGATGGGTCAAAAGTTGGTGGTTGATGGCTTGTATGTCAGCTTGATCTCTTAAATAATACATAGTTAGGCACCCTAGGTCTACCTCCGCCATTAAAGCTAGAAAGTTACAGTGTTGATGGGTCCTAAAAAAACAAAAAACAAACAAATCATTTCTCCTTGAGAAATAAGTTTTAAGTTGGACTTCCACATGTTGTAGAAATTGCTTAATAGATAATTAGTTTTCAAACAAGTTAAAAGATGTGTGCATTATGTGTTTTCAGGGAAAGAAAAGGGAACAAAAAAGACGGCCAAAGCCGAAGGATGGCTCTGTATTAATATGTCAGATATGTGGAGACAGAGCACTTGGCTACAATTTTGATGCGATAACATGTGAATCATGTAAAGCCTTCTTTAGAAGAAATGCTCTCAAGGCAAAGGTATTTCCTTGTTGTATTTTCATCAAATTTTTATTTGAATTTCAGGTTTATCTCGTTATCTCACTGCTTTTAAAACTTTGTGAGACAGATTAAAAAAAATTTTTCTTAAAAATAAAGAAAGAGAGAGAGAAAGAAAAGAAAAAAAGAATATGAAGAAAGAAAGAAAGATAGATAGAAAGAAAGGAAGGTAGACAGAAAGAAGGAAGAAAGAAAAGAAAGAAAGAAAAGACAAAAACAAAGAAAGAAAGAAAAATAGAAAGTAAGAAAGAAAGAAAAGAAAGGAAAGAAAGAGGTCCCTTTTAATGTTCCTGGTTAAAAAAAACCCAAAAACAACCAGTGTTTTTATTGATACTGTGTTACCTAAATAGTGTATTGAGCTAAAAACTCATCTTCTCTGTGTGAACTCAAAGATGTTTTTTTAAATGTAAAAAAGAGAGACTGGATAGCAATAATCTGGAGGTTTTTTTTTATCAAATTTGAGCATAATATAATATAATCCTCAACAAAATATTTCAGGTTTTTACCTGCAGTTTTGAAGGAAACTGCAAACTCGACCAACATACTCGAAAGTTTTGCTCAGGATGTCGACTGAAGAAATGTTTTGATGTTGGAATGAAAAAGGACTGGATCCTCAGTAAGTTATATATGAGCCGCGTCACTATAAAACCAACGTAGTGCGTTTGCGACCAGCATGGATCCAGACCAGCCTGCGCATCCGGGCAGTCTGATCAGGATCCATGCTGTTCGCTTACCAACCCTATTACAAGTAGAGAAACTGATAGCGAACAGCATGGATCCTGATCAGACTGCACGGATGCGCAGGCTGGTCTGGATCCATGCTGGTTGCAAACCCATTAGGTTGGTTTTGTCGTGACGTGGCTCATTTCACTTAATAACATCAATCTTGTGGGGCGTCAGTGGCCGAGTGGTTGAGGCGTTGACCTTAAACCACTTGCCCCTCACCGCTGTTGGTTTGAGTTCCAATAGGGACTTCGGATTCTTTCATGTCAGGAAGCTATCTAGCTAGCTTATGGTATATCGGTGGTTCTACTCAGGGTGCCTGTTTGTGCCTGAAATAATGCACATAAGGGCACCCGAGGTCTTCCTCCACCAGTAAAGCTTGAAGGAATCCATATGACCTATACTGTGTTGGGTTGACATAAAACCCTATCAAAACAAACAAAATCATTCTCAAGCTAACCACTTTGGCCAATTGTGATGAAACACAAGAATCTTCCTTAAATGGTTGTCCTATAAAACAAGGTTTAAATGATTCTGGTCTGCTTCAAACAAGAAGGCTGACAGAGCTAAAAATAGATAAAAAACGTAAAACAACATCGGTTCTGCAATCATGTAACAGATATGGATGGAATTCTACACGAATTGTCATAAGGTGGTGACCTTTACAGAAAATACATATATCGTTAAGGTCTTCGGAACAAAATGAATTCCAGAGCTTAAAAAAAAAGCAACGAACAACAATAAGCTTTAAAGTGATATTATGCTGTCAAGTTGAGTTCAGAAGAATAACCATTATAAATGAGCTATGCCATGACAAAACCAACATAGTGGGTTTGCGACCAGCATGGATCCAGACCAGCCTGCACCTCCGTGCAGTCGGATCAGGATCCATGCTGTTCGCTATCAGTTTCTCTACTTGTAATAGGGTTTGTAAGCGAACAATATGGATCCTGATCAGACTGTGCGGATGCGCAGGCTGGTCTGGATCCATGCTGGTCGCAAACCCATTATGTTAGTTTTGTTGTGACGCGGCTCAAATTATGATAATGGTGATTGACAAATAATTGGTAATGAAAAAATGGTAAGGCAACTTCCTATGTTTAAAAAAGACTGCCCCACTGAGACTTTTTAAAAATTGAACGTTTCAAATATATTCTGTATAATATTTATAGTCAAGTTTTCATAGAGTAATTTTGCATAGTAAAATATAAAATTGAATACAATTATGGCAAAATGTAAAGCCACTTTGCACTTAAAATTTACACATGGGTGAGCTATAATGTCACTTTAAAAGACATTTCCTATTCAAGCAAAATGATCCTTTACAAAATTGTGCCAGTCTGCTGAACAAGATGGCTGCCTTACACATGGTAAATTTAGAAATAAGACTTAAATCACATCACCATCTCAACTCCTTGATCGTTTTTTTATGAAACTTAGTGGAAATGACCTAATAATGAAATCTTGTTTATGTAAACCATATCTTCATTACCCTCTTATTTGTTGTTGTTGTTTTGTTATTTTGAACTTTTTTAAATTGGTGAATTTTTCAATATTTTTTGAGTTCACTGTAAGTTGTATAATATTCTTTGTATTTCGAGTTTTCATCAAGTTTTTCTTTTATGACATCTTGAAATGACTGAGAATCTACCTGTGCGTCACCCATTAGGGTATATTTTGTTTCTATAATGAAATCTTACGATAAATGTCATAACCATTATCAATACTTTAAAAGGTTAGATGAAATAGCTGAAATTTAACATCATTGCTTATAGGTTTGAGCAATATATTTTCTTTGAGTCATGGCCATAGATAGGTGATATAGGCTGTGATTTTCCTACTTATATGACAGACTCCGAAAAAGGGCCTCTTCCCAATTGAAATTTTCTTTAAAATCATGCAGTTTTCCCAAAAATCTGAACTTAAACCTGCTTTTTTCTTCCCAAATTAGCAATTTTAGCGATAATTTTTCCCAAAATCATGAGGCTAAGGCCTCTTCCCAATTAAGCGAGAAAAATCACTGATAGGTCAGTTTTCTAAACAAAGTGTACTTACATGGTGGTAAACAAACATATTGATTTGTTTTAACATTTTCGTTGATGTTATCTATGCAGGTAGTAACATTCCTTTAATGTTATTGAACATTGCTTACCTTTAAAGGCACTCCACTGAGGTTGTTTTATCCTTTAAAGGGACTCCATTGAAGTTTTTAGACATGACAGGACTAGAAAACTATTTTTGGGGATTAAAATTCCATTTGATAAAGATCTAGATCAATAACTTGTGTCCAAAATTTCAGGTCATTCCATCATTCTGTTTTTTCCTGAATGATAATTATTGGGAAAAATGACCCAAAATTAAAAATGTACAATGCTTTTCACTCAAATCAGGCTAAAAACAGTGCAAAAGTATGATTTTCAGTTTAGTTCTGAGAATATTTCTTAATTTAAATTATCTTTTGTATATTTTCTGTTTTAAGCGTCAAAGTAACTGTTGTTCTATGTAAGATATCCGAATTTTATATTTTAGGACCTCAGTGGAGTTCCTTTAAGCACAAAGTGAGTTTTTAGATGAATTGTTGGTCTATGTCTGGTGTCCATCATAATCCTTCACAATGAGTATTTTAGTATAACAAACATTTGAGCTGTGTCATGACAAAACCAACATAATGGGTTTGCGACAAGCATGGATCCAGACCAGCCTGCGCAGGCTGGTCTGGATCCATGCTGGTCACAAACGCACTATGTTATTTTTGTCGTGACACGGCTCATTTATCTCTCTTAGCTTAACTGTGATGAAACCTTAAATCTTATCTAAACCACTCCCGTGTCCATTTTATCAAACTAACCAGGCCTGGTGTCATATAATGAAATATCGTCTTTACCCAAGTGGAGCTCGAACCTTATATCCCTGGGTGAAGGTATGGACACCTTAGCCACTATGCCACCACTATTTTTTCCTTTTTGTGTTTCCTAAGAGCTGATGTAAGATTTCAAGTCAAATAATCATGGATGGTTGTAATATATTGAGGATTTCTATACTGACTTTATACAAAAAAAAATAAAATAAATAAATAATTGCACACCCTTCTATTTCAGTGGTGAGTGAAAAACAACAATTTATCTGCACTGAATTATTAATTCTCAGACTGAACATAGAAAATACCAATTTCCTGTTACTATCAAACTATTACATTTCATTGTCAAAAGGTTACACTAACATGTATGCCCCTAATATTGCTGGAACTTAAAGTGAGAAGCCCTTGCCACCAGTATACGGGGCCAGACCAGCCTGCACATCTATGCAATCTGGCAAGGCTCTATACGGGTGACTGAATAACTTCAAATTTTTATCTGAGATAATAAAATATAAATAGAAGCTGGACAAATCCATTTATGAAATACAGCATGATTATAAAGTATTAATTATCAGTAGGAGGGGTAAAAAGTGTCTATTTTGGGATAATTTCTTTTATCTTCTTTTTCCAGTTACAATTCCAAATGACATGCAACAAATGAAATAAAACAACAAAAAACAAAATAAAAAAACACCAAAAAAACAGTCAAATAGACTGCTGATATTTTTGATTTTATCATGTTCATTTTTGTGTGCTCTCATTTAGAGAGTTCCCAATTTAATCACAAAACTATATTGTAGGCAAATTATTTCTAATATTGCTTTGCAATTTAGAAAATATGTTTATTTCTCATTTATTTCTTTATCATCGTAACATTGTTGATTGTTGTAAATTCTCTATCAATTCCTGTCTTTGAAAATGAGATTTTCCAATATCAGAAAAACTAACATTTTACCATATAACATTTCTAGAGTCTTTTAAGTAACCCAACTGTTGAAAGTCATATAACATTCATGTGTTTCATCAGAACAGTGGCCATATATGCTGAATCATTATATAACTTCAATCTGTCATTAGTTCATTAACTATAATGCAGTGATCTCCCCTTATCAGTACCCCGATCTACCAAGGGAGGTAATCACTAAAATTTGCTAGCACCTCTTGGTTTATTTTGAGGATAGGTTTACCAATAACTTCTTCCAGGTTTTACAAATGAACATTTCTTGACATTGAGAGCCATGAGTTTTACCATCATATTGTCCTGGGTTTTACCAGTGTCTTGTTCAGTGTGGCCAATATTTTAGGAGCACACCTTCAGATTCATGCTTATTTTCATGAAAAAAAATTTAAAATGTATTTAAAAGTTAAATATTGTGAAATGAATGTAATTTGAACATTGCAAACAGCACTTTTAATCTGTGTAAATTACCAAAAAAAAAAATAGCCATTATATGCAAAAATAGCACTTACTGCATTAGTAACACAGAAATATAGTAATAAATACTGCAAAATCAGTCCTTAATCACACATGACATGTAAGTTATTACTTTAATCTTAAATCTTAAAATCTTAGTACATTATTTTCTTGAAAGGCTCATCTGGTGGCATGCAGCTTTAAGATAGAAAAATGTTAGATAAACAAGGAAAGGTAAATCCTGCACTATCTTGCAGTATGACCAGGCTATTTATTATTGACTGCATAATTTGAGAATTTTAACATAGAAAATCCCTTTAATCAATAATAGAATGACCCATATTCAAAGTAAGTAAGGTAAGTTCATGGCAACAAATTTAGGAGACATTAAGGTTAAGCAAAATTGAGTTCATTCACTTAACAAGAATCAATTTCTTTATTCTCATGTTATTTAGTGAATAAGGCAATCTAAATGTAGGACAAATAATTATTTAGGATCTGTCTGGAGACTGTCATTTTCAGAATGTTAAAAACCTCTCCTAGAATTAGAAATTTTCAGAAAGATCAGATGCTGTGAACATTTTTAAGGTTGCCGAAGACCCATCTTTTTACATTGTTATATAAGTATTTAGGTCATGTATGTGCTTAATTGGGGTATATCACGCTAAATATTACCACTCCAAATGCTACCGCACCGCAAATAAATTTAAATAGACTTGTCTTGTTTTCAAGCTAGACAAAAATTATTTACCAATTTTAGGGGAAATTTCTAAATAAGTACTGACTGAATAGTGAACAGTGCAGACTTATGATGAGATGGCCTGGATGTGCCAGCTGATCTTGGTCCGCACTGGTTGCATGGGTATATCCGGCTATCTGCTATTTTTGCAGATAAATGAAAAGTAATTTATCTTTGGTTTAATTTTGCATAAAGAACTCTATGCAAAGCACATTTTGATATTGGGCTTATTTGTAATTTATGTGATTAGACCTTTAAGAGTTATGATTTAAGTTTTAAGTTTTATTTATATTATTTGAGCTTTATGTTTAATTTATGCTATTTTGAGCTTTATTTTAAGAGTTCTTCATGTCTGATATGCTTTTTAATTGTATATGATTATGTGTTATTTGATCATTGAATGTTGTCATGTGATCTCGGTGTAATCACTTGATATTTTTAGTAGAAAAACCCACTTAACTTCAAGTTGCATTCTTATTCAAGTTAAAACAAACAAACTTCCTTTTCAAGGAAGTAAAAAGTTGTGCAAATACTTGAAATATTATAGAGTTTATATGTTTAAATTGGTTCAGGAAAAGACAAATGAAGTTCGTAGATTGCACAGTTTCAACTGGAATGTAACATCAAAACAATTTCATCATTTGCCAAAATCATAATAACTTATTCAAAATAATCTTGTCATATCATTATAAAAATATAGGAGAAACAGTCTTTTAAGAGTTTTGATGAACCAAATATCATAAACATGGCCCTAAAGGTGTTTAATTCGAACTTTGAAAGGAAGAAAAGTCCCAGTATTTAAAAGTATTGCACCAAACTCTATCTTTGCTTGTACCAGTCCAAACTCTAATGTAATTGCTCACTTTTGAGATAAGAAACTTAAAATCACAATTTTTTCTTTGAATAGGTGATGATCAGTTGGCTAAACGGCGTAAAAAGAGTGGACGGACATCATCGTCGGAGGAGAAAATGTACGCCGATGAGAAAATGTACGCTGATGAGAAAATGTACGCTGACGTCCAAAAATATTCAGTACAAAATGAACAGACCGGCTTGCCACAGCAGATGACGACCCGACTCCCATATTTACCACCACATAAAATGGAGTCCTCATTTCAGTCACCGGGTAGCTACAACGACACTGACACAAACTCGACCGCCTACTTCTCTGACTCGACTGATACAAGTAATTTGAGTAGTCCGCTCACGAATTTTGCCCAAGACATTATAAAAACTGAAAAAAGTGAAGATGATTACACGAGACCTATGGATCTGGAGTTGGAGGCAGAAATTCGGCAGTTGGAAAAAGAATATGCGTCAGTGTTCGATAGTGGTTACTCGGAAGATCAGGCTAAAAAAATGGTTGAAAAGCCGCATAATGCTAATGACTTGTTCAACATGACAGATATTTTTATACGGCGCTTGATAAAATTTGCCAAGCAAATTCCCGAGTTCAAGAACTTGAAGCAGGAAGATCAGATTCATTTATTAAAGGTAATGTTTGTTGACTTTTATTTATATTTTTGAACACCTTTTAGCTCGACTATACAAGGTATATGAAAAGCTGTCCTACTCACCCTTGGCTGGTATCACATCTGCATTTTATATCTTATTAAAGTTTTTCTGCGGTGAAATATTTTTTACTGTTACTTTTTTATTTCTTGAGGGATTTACTTAAAATGTTTTTTATCAATGTGACAAATCTTTCGCAAGTGAATCCAGTATTCAATTAGTTGAGCATAATTTCTCCGACAGCTCTTGTCTTGTTCTTTAATTATGAAAATGTAGTCATGGATAGCTAAAATAAGATAAGAATATGTATGAATAAATGTTTAAGTGGTTAAGTTAGCGACACAGAAATATTGAGAAATTTCGCAAATTGACAAAAATCGCTAAAATTTCCTCTAGCGTAAATATCAACCTCTAGCGTAAATATTAACCAACCTGTCATTAAATTCTACCCTTTAATGATTCGCTAATACATCTTATGCGAAAAGTGAAAAAATTTTAATTCGCTAACTTTTTGAACACGCAGAAATCCACTTATACAGTACCTACTTTTGTAACTTCTGTGCTTTGCTGCTAGCTTATTGTTGTATGTAGATTAAAGTTGGTAAGCAACAAAGCAAATACCGTAAAATTCCTAATAAACGCCCCTGGGGGCTTAACATTTTCCAAAAGGGGGGCTATTATTACAACACAGTTTTTCCTAAATAAAAAAATCACTGTTAATACTTTTAGTGTTAGCAAGTGTTGGTAATGACATTAAAAAATGTTAAGGTTTTAAAGTTCATATACATATTTGTGTTTACTATAAAATACTATGGATTCTGAATGATTTGAATAAAATGATGGCTTAAATTATTAGTTCAGTACTGATGAGTAGATTGTTTTCCCTTTCAAAAAGCCTGGGGGGGCCTTTATTAGGGGAGGGGCGTTTATTAGGAATTTTACGGTAAGCAACTTAACAATAGCATGAATTTGCATATTATTTGAAACATTTTGCATAACTTGGCAATAGCAAGAGAATGAAAGCTAGTTAGTTGAAATATTTTTACCTCTTGGTTAGCATTGCAGAAAACTATTTGTACGTTACCTATTTAGGTTATTGTAATGAAGGCTTTTAATTGTATGCTTACTTATAAATACAGTCATTTATCACAGATGTGAAGTCTGAGAAAAGATATGTAGAATTTCATGCAAATGAATTTTTGCGATTGAGTAGAATTCCTTCCTCACACTAGATTTCTATACTTCAGGGTTGACTGAACACTACTGCTAGACAGTCTGTCCTGAATTCAGATCAGTTAGTGCATTAATGTCGTTGTTTTATATCTTTGAATTGTGTCATGACCACATAATGAGCCCACATACTGTCATTAACCAATCGTTTTAAATTGTTTCATAAGACAATTTATTAGGGATACTGGATCATTAAATCATCATCGCAAACATAACATGTAACTATTGCCTTTAGCTTTAGGCTATACAACTGAATAGATGTGTTTCAAATTAGCTTGTTTAAGATTTTGAATATATATATATTCAGGATACTAGAAATTAAGCTGCCAACAATATAAAGCCGGATCTTTCTTGTTTGGCTGTAAATTGGTGCCAAAGTCAATATTGCTGCCAGTGTTGAGAGAGGTTACATGGGGATTTCGTCCTCTCATTGATCACCTATATAACTGCCTCCGTGGTCGATGGGTTAGAGTCGATGACTTCTAATGCAGTTACCTCTCTGGCGTGGGTTCGATCCCCGGGAGATGCTTTGGTAGTTTAGCATGGAGGAAGGTAGTCTAGTACTGGTGTTACTCTCCAGGAAGGATGGTTAGGAAACTACCCGCCTATTTGACTGAAATACTGTTGGGAAAAGGCGTAAAATGAAACAAACAAACCTCTGCATATTCCTGTACATTCATGGGCAGTGGTGGGAAATTATAAGTGACCTTAAATAATGATAAATGTGTTTGACTTAAGATATTAAATAAGAAAAACTTTGACTGATTCAGCCATGCAACAGCGGTAATAGTCATTAAACAAGCTCACCGCTATGGTAATTCAATTGATGACACCACAATAAAGTTAAAAATAAATTAGATATATCACGGTCAGTTAGCATGAATAAAACGCAACGGTCACTGTGGTGTAGTGGTTAGCATACAAGACCGGCAATCCAGAGACCTGTGGTTCGACTCCCGACTGCAACTTGCCAATTTTATATGTATACACAAACACACACAAAAAAGTTTTAAGTATTGATCTCCTATTCTACAAAACTTGTCCAAAATACTCCGGAAAGATTTTTGATAAATACTTATAAGTTATTCAGAAGTTTAATTTAAATTTTGGAAAAAAATACTTGTTTTAGGTAAAAAAAACACAGGGTGGTTCTGTTTGGAAATTCAATACTTTATATAAGTTTTTGATAATTATATAAGGTAACTGGTGATATAATTGTATAAACTTGTGTGTTAATTATCTACTTGGACAGCTAGTTCCTTATTTGGTTTTTATATCCTTACCATAAAAGCTGGGTTCACCATTGTCCCAAGAGGACATGTATGACGTGTCTTGTCATAAACAGATGAATAACAACATGTGTAAAATAAATCGGTGATCAGGCATAGAATTTAACTCCTTTGAACTCCATGAGCAATAATGTCATTCTGGTGCTAGACCATCCTATACTTCCATGAAATATGTCAAGATTTTATTTCCATTTGCTGGTTAATTTTAGAATTTTAATTTTTAAATGGATTCATATATTAAACAAGGTACTAGATAAATGAGAAAAGTGTCTTCTTAGATTAACAGAACTTATTATTTGTTTATACTGTTATTTACTTTAGGACTCCACTGATATTTTTTACATTACGGGACTGGAATTTTTTTTTTGAGATTATGTTCAATTTGATGTAGGTCTAGACTTATAACTTTGTGTGCAAATTTGATATCATTAGCTCAAAAGAAAAAAAAAAGCTATTGCTACAGTCATGTTGTCATTGCCAGTGCTGTTGAGGACTGCAAATTTTAACATTGGTCATAATATTTTTCTTTCTTAAGGGGTGTCCGTGGCCGAGTGGTTGAGGTCGTTGACTTCAAACCACTTGCCCCTCACTGCTGTGGGTTCAAATCCCGACAGGGACTTTGTATTCTTTCATGTGAGGAAGCTATCCAGCTAGCTTACGGAACGTAGGTGGTTCTACTCAGGTGCCCTTTCGTGCCTAATATAATGCACCTGAGGTCTTCCTCCACCAGTAAAGCTGGAACGTCGCCAAATGACCAATACTGTGTCAGTGAGACGGAAAAGCCCAAACAAAACAAAACAAATTTTCTTTCTTAATGACCATAACTTTTGTTATTTATTTATGGATTTATACTTAGACAAAAGAACACTTTTAACAGAACCCTTAGGTTGAATAATTCAAATATGACCTTGACCTTTATTTGACCTTGACCATTAAGGTTAAACTATTGAATTTATTCAAAGTGTCATAACTTTGTAATTTACTTTCAGAATTGATTCATACTTGGACATTGTACCCTTACGTTGAATTTTTCTGATATGACCTTGACCTGTATTTTACCTTGATTTTTAAGATGAAATTATTGAAATTTGCATAAATTGTCATAACTTTGTTATATATTTACAGATTTGATTTATACTTAAAGAAGAGAAACACATATGACAAAACCAACTTGTTGCATAGTCTGCTATGAACTTGACCTTAAATGACCTTGAACATCAAGGTCAAATTATTGAAATTTGTTTAAAATTTCATAACTTTCTTATTTACTTACAGATTTTATTCTTGGACAAAAGAACACATATGACAAAATGAACAGGTTGAATTATTCTTGTATGACCTTGACCTTTAATTAACCTTGAATGCCAAGGTCAAATTGTTAAAATTTGCTTAAATTGTCATAACTTATTTATTTATGGATTTGATTAATTCATGACTAAAGAACACATGACAAAATCTACATGATGATCTTGACCTATAATTGACTGACGGTCATAATAAAGTTTGTGACATGAATGTAATTTGTTACAAAAATAAAAATGTTTGTAGGAGTATTCTTTACAATGATATATTTTTATGCCCCCATTTCGAAGAAAAGGGGGTATATTGCTTTGCACTTGTCGGTCCGTCGGTCCGTCGGTCCGTAGACCAAATGGTTTCCGAGTGATAACTAAAGAACCCTTAGGCCTAGGAACTTCAAACTTGGTATGGTGATTGGTCATGACCAGTAGATGACCCCTATTGATTTTGGGGTCAAGGGGTCAAAGGTCAAGGTCACATTGACCTTGAGAGCAAAAACGGTTTCCGATCAATAACTAAAGAACCTTAAGGCCTAGGAACTTCAAACTTGGTATGGTGATTGGTCATGACCAGTAGATGACCCCTATTGATTTTGGGGTCAAGGGGTCAAAGGTCAAGGTCACATTGACCTTGAGAGCAAAAACGGTTTCCCGATCAATAACTAAAGAACCTTAAGGCCTAGGAACTTCAAACTTGGTATGGTGATTGGTCATGACCAGTAGATGACCCCTATTGATTTTGGGGTCAAGGGGTCAAAGGTCAAGGTCACATTGACCTTGTGAGCAAAAACGGTTTCCGATCAATAACTAAAGAACCTTAAGGCCTAGGAACTTCAAACTTGGTATGGTGATTGGTCATGACCAGTAGATGACCCCTATTGATTTTGGGTCAAGGGGTCAAAGGTCAAGGTCACATTGACCTTGTGAGCAAAAACGGTTTCCGATCAATAACTAAAGAACCTTAAGGCCTAGGAACTTCAAACTTGGTATGGTGATTGGTCATGACCAGTAGATGACCCCTATTGATTTTGGGGTCAAGGGGTCAAAGGTCAAGGTCACATTGACCTTGTGAGCAAAAACGGTTTTCCGATCAATAACTAAAGAACCTTAAGGCCTAGGAACTTCAAACTTGGTATGGTGATTGGTCATGATCAGTAGATGACCC